TGGCTCATGCCTGTAATCCTGCACTCTGGAAGGCTGAGGCAGGAGGATCCCTTGAGCTCAGGAGTTTGAGACACGCCGGAGCAAGAATGAGACCCCATCTCTACTAAAAACAGAAAAACTACTGGCCATTGTGGCGGGTACCTTGAAAATCACTTGAGCCCAAGAGTTGGAGGTTGCTGTGAGCTATGATGCTGCTGCAGCACTCTACCCAAGGCAACAGAGTGAGACTCTGTCTCAAGAAACAAAAAAAATTCCCCGTGTCAGTAGACTGCCTACTGGTTCCCGCCCCCGGACTGGTACCTGGTTTCAAGCTTGGTGTGCCTTGTGGTTGGTTTCCCTTCCCCCACTTAGCTGGTGAGCTCCTGGGGGGCAGGGAGATGTCTGAGCCTGTCTGGATCTCAGCACACGAGGAGGACCCAGATAGGACACTTGAGAAATGACTGACTTGGATTGCACCAAAATTCAATAGTCCTGCACATGTGGTATTAAATAAATTGAACTGAATCGAACCCATCCATCCATCCGTCGGTCCATTTGATCAGCTGCAAACGCTCACTGAGTGCTGGGTGTGGCCAGGGCAGGATGCCCAGCAGGGGAGCAAGATGAAGCGTGTGTGCGAGCACACGGGGAATGTCATTTCAGATGGGGATACAAGCTTTGTGGGAAATGCAGCACGGAAAGACGTCCCTGGTCACGAGAGCGCTATTTTATTTATTTATTTATTTATTTATTTTATTTTTTTGTTTGAGACAGAGTCTCACTTTGTTGCCCTGGGTAGAGTGCTGTGGTGTCACAGCTCACAGCAACCTCACAGAGATTCTCTTGCTACCCTCCCTGTAGCTGGGACTACAGGCGCTTGCCACAGTGCCGAGCTATTTTTTTGTTGCAGTTGTCATTGTCGATTAACTGGCCTGGGCCAGGTTCAAACCCACCAGGCGTATGTGGCTGGCGTCATAACCACTGTGCTGTGGGCACCAAGCCCAAGAGTGCTATTTTATTTTATTTTTTATTTTTTTGAGACAGAGCCACAAGCTATCGCCCTAGGTAGAGTGCTGTCTCATCACAGCTCACAGCAACCTCCAACTTCTGGGCTCAAGCGAGTCTCCTGCCTCAGCCTCCCAAGTAGCTGGGATCGCAGGCACCCGCCACAATGCCTGGCTATTTTTTTTTTTTTGGTTGCGGCCATCATTGTTGTTTGGCGGGCCCAGGCTGGATTCAAACCCGCCAACGCAAGTGTATGTGGCTGGCACCTTAGCCACTTGAGCCACAGGTGCCGAGCCAACAGTGCTGTTTTAGATAAATGGTCAGGGCCCTTTGAGCAGACAAGGATGTGAGGGGCCAGGGCAGGACGCTCTGGCAGAAGGACATTCCACACGAAGGATGAGAGGGGGAAAATCTGGGTCTGTGACAAGCAGGGAAGCTGGGGCACTTTGAGTAAAGGGGTGACTTGTAGGAGATGGGGTGAGGACTTGCTTTCTTGTGGGGCCCCTTCCAACTCTGAAATTTGAGGTCTCCTCAGGGAAGCCCTTGCCAAACACTTTCTGAATCCACGCAGGCAGAAGCCTTGCCTGGGTGCTCTCCCCTTGTTCTTTCAATCTTCATGATAATCTTACGAAGAGGATGCTTCTAGCACCACCACCCCCCACACACACACACAAGGAAACTGAGGCTCAGACAGGCTGGGCAACCTGTGCAAGGCCACACAGAGTTGGGGAAAGAACTGCAATGAACCCAGGTCTGCCTGGCCTTCAGCCCAGAGGGTACGTTCCCAAGACCAGCACATCTGTTTGCCAGGAGCCTGCCATCAGTAACACCAGTCAATGGGACAGGCTAGCAGGAGGACCCAAAGCTCCCATCCAGGTTGAACACAGTCCCATGGTTGCCCAGCCTGTGGGGAAGGAGCTGGGGTTCAGGCACAGCTCTTGCCATATCCCCATGACTCTCTGAAAAGGGAAAACTAGCAGGTGAGCCCGGTGAGCTGCTCTGTGCACGCCATGCCTGCCAGTCTCCCCGGGCAGGGGCGTGTTGTCTAATGGGTGTCATTTCAGCCCTTTCATTTCTAATAGATACTGTGCTGTCATAAAGACTGTCATTTCCCGTGGCTCACGCAGATAATCAACATCCCGGCTGCCTGGAGGGCCGGGAATGGCAGTATCTGGGCACGTCTGTGCAGATAAAACTACCCTCTTATTCTCTGCCATTCTGGTCCTTTCCCAACCAGACACGGTCCTTGCATTTGAGAGCAATGGCTTAGGATCCCAGGAGGCCCCAGCTCACCCCACAACCCCACCCTGCTCAGGAAAGAACTGTCTCTTCTCAGCCTAGCTTCAACATTACATAGCCAGGTCACCTTGGGCATGGCACTTTCTCTCCCAGAGCCCCAGTTGCCTCATCTGTAAAATGGGAGCAGTTATGCCGACTTTGCAAGGTGGCTTAAGTGACACGACACATTTTAAACACCTACTTTATTAGTGCATTGTGAGAATTAAATGAGGGAGTGTGTGGCAATGCCCAGAACCCAGGAAGACTCAATCAAAGTTAGTGCCACGAGCCCCGGAGGCCATGGAAAAGTTCTGACCTACAAACCCAAGTTCCAGGCTCAACTTTGCCATTGATGTGCTGTGTGATCTTGGAAGAGCCCATTCCCTTCTCTGGCCTCAGTTTCCTCATTTGCAAAGTGTGACAAACATCATTATCACATCCAACACCGTCATTGTCATAGCCACCACATGGCTGGTGTTCTGATCAGCCTTACCTCGTAAGCAGGAAGGCTGAGCTTAGACAGGTGAGGTGACTTGCCCAAAGTCACACAGCTAGCAAGTAGTGGAGCCCTGGTTTGACCCTTCGTTGTCTGGACACAGAGCTGGAGCTCCTGGCCTCTGCAGTGGTAGAGATCAGCTTTGGGGAGGAGACTTGGACCCCTAGCTGTCCCACATACCTGTGCTTATGCACCCATGCACACACATGTGCACTTACATATACACACGCACCATCACACAACAGCTTTAGAATTAGGCTTGGCACAGGCTGTCCTGTTGTCTCCCCACCCTAATGAGTGACAAAATCAAGGTCTAGCATTCACCCACCTGCCCCAGGCCCCACCAGCAGCCCAAGGTTCAGTCCACGGTCCTGGAGGGAAGATCTCCAGAGCAGCCCAGAGTCTATCTAATGTACATCCAACCCTTCCCACACAGGGAAACTAAGGCCCAGGGGATCTGTAAGCTATTCTCAAAGCAGGCTAGCAAAGGCACCTGGCTCGGATACTGACAGCAAGAAGGTGGGTGGGAGAGAAAGAGGAAGGGGCCTCAGTTCCAAACACCTCAGAATAGACTCAGGACTGTCTCCTGCCAGCCCACCTACCCTGACAGACTCCCCCAAGTCATTATTACATTGCTACATCCTCACAGGAAGATAAGAACTGTGGTGCCATTTTGCAGATGGGAAAATCAAGGCTCATAGAATTGAAGTGACTTGCCCAGGCTCACACGATAAGGAAAAGAGCTGGGACTTGAGTCCAGTTCAGTTCCTAATGCTCTTGCTTAACTGATTTCTTACTTTGTTGGTTCGTTTCTCTCTCATTTTTTTCCCTTCAAGTTACCAACTCACCCGCCCCTCTCCCTCCCCAGTTCTGCCTGCCCACATTATAAACATCTTGAAGGCAGGCATCTAATTGGACTTGTGCATTGATTGGCTGTATATGTGGACCCTGCCACAACCACAGACATGGAATCTGGAAACCAGCGGATGCTTGTTGGGGTGTTGAATGAATTGTAATTGGGCTACAATTTCTTTTACCTTGATATTGGCGGTGAGCATAGTCAATTTGGAGATGTCCATTATTGTGGAAGGACTCACTCAAGTGATCATTATGCAAATACAGAGGTAAGCAAAGGAACATGGTGTGTTATGAACGTAATTTTTGTTTATTTTTCATTAACAAGATTGCTCCACTTCTTTCTATCAAGAAGAGCTCTGAGAAGGGTGAAGCAATCTGCATAATAATCTCAGAGGTCTTCTCATAGGGAAGCGATGGGAACTCAACTCCTGCCCCCAGACGTGGAGTTAGAAAAATACGAGGGAACTGGAGTAGCTCTGAGTCGACTGGAGTATCTCTGAATGAAGTCCGCAGGCAGGAGAAGGTACAGAGGACTCCAGAAAGAACTCTGGAGGGCAAGGAAGGGCTCAACTTCACAGGCAGGGACAGACACATGGGACTTCAATCCGCTTTTCAGTCAAGGATCACAAGACATTGGAGGGAAAACTCCAACATGAAAGAGAAACAGCAAGTCTCCAGCCTCCAGCCTCACGACAAGCACAGCGTGGGGTCCACCTTGATTTATAGAGGGACATGACCCAGGAGGGCACCACCACCTCAGCCGACAAGCCCTCCTCGGGATGCGCAGGCCCAGTTTTCAACAGTGACGTTGGGTGGCCGGGGCCGAAAGGACAGCACTAGATAGGGCTTTAGCTCCTGGTTCTCCGTTCCTAGAGTCTGGGGGCAGAGCCGGCTTACTTTAGACTAAGTCCCGAAGGTTTCTGGGTTAATTTAGGAGGGTAAAAGGCTCTGGATGGATACTGGACTTCCTGCTACTGAAGGCTCAGGATGAACAATGAATTGGGAAAATACGCAGTGCCATTATTGGTACCCTGTATTGGTGAAATATATGTCACAGAATGAGTCAGCTTTATACACACTGTGCCGCAAGAGCCTGCAACTGTGCACACTGACAAGTAACACGCACGGGAGAGTTCTTCCTATAGCCAAGCATCTGTAAGACTAACGGTAACAGCAGCTGATATACAGACCTGGCGTGCTACAGTCTACGGAGCCCTTTGCCACTTATGCTCTTCTCTGAGCTTCATGCCAGCCTGTGAGATGCTGGGCAGAGAGACGTTGTCCCTAGGAAACTGAAGCTCAGAGAGGCACCTGTCCCACCTCTGTTCCAGATCCCTTAGCTGCCTCACAGGGATGCCAGGCGCCAGGTCCCTCTCCTGCCTGCTCATAGCAGCATCAGGACCACAATGGCAATGACCATGAGGACTCCAGCCAGGATGCAAAGTCCCAGGAAGACGATGTCACTTGTATCCTGGGCCACGGCGGTCACCGGGCCATCCAGTGCCTCTGCCTCGTCCCTGGGTGGCGCTTCCTGAAGGTGCTCAGCAGTGGCAGCGTAGGGCCCACGCCAGTTGGAGCCGGACAGCAGGTGGACAGAAGCCTCCTTGCGCCGTGGCTCACAGAGGACCTCATACTCGTGGATGTCATCCTGCCCAGCAGCCGAGAAGTCGATGTACAGCACACTGACGATCACGGAAGTATTGTTCCTTCTCTGTGGGGTCACAGGGCACTCACTCACACCTGAAGGGACTTGAGCTGACCCTGCTCCCCTCTATATGTGTATACGTGGGGGTGTCAGTAGCAAGGGGGCAGAGCTCCAGAGCCTGGGTCCTGGTCCTAGCTTGGCCACTGTCTGCCATCCCACTCAAAGCCCCAGTGTCCCCATCTGTAAAATGCAGGACCTGAGAGTGGAAGGGCCAGAGTTAACCTACTGATAAGGAGAGGAGGGGGAAATTGCAGACGCTGGGGGTGGGGGAAAGTTTTAGGGGGCTTTTGTGAGCAAGAGACCTGAGAAGGGAAAAAAGCCGCACAGGACATGGCGTTGGTGGCTTTGAAGTCACATCTCTAACATTTTTAAAGAGATGCACATAAAGCTTAGCATCACATTATTGCTTCGGCCAGTTGAGCTGTGCTTCTTTGAAAGCAACTCTATGCAGAGGTCAGTCCTCATGGATCTGGGATTTATGAGGATTACCTTGAGATTCCACGAATCTAAGGTCCCTGGATTTTATGTTTCCAAGATATTGACTCCAAGAGTCCATGGTTTCGGAGTTCTGAGTGCTGGCGGTGGTTCTGTGGCTCTGAGCCTGAGTGTCTGTGAGTCCCTGGGTCTGGGAATTCATGATTCTGGGAGTCTGTCTCCATCATTCCTCAACTCTGTGGAATGTGATTCTGTCCCCAAGAAAACCCCTGAGAGACTTAGGACATGGAGTGGGGGTGAGGGCACAATATCTGGGCAGCCAGGACTGACACCCCCACTTCCTCAAGTCAAAAGAACAGTGGCTGCCAGGAGGCTGGGGATGGTAGAGGGTGAGTAAGGGGCAAAGGGATACGTATGGCTAATGTTGTATGGTGGGGGACAGTTTGCTGGAAAGTGTACAATTTCTGCAAATCCCCTGGATTCCAAGGCTGCAGAGTTTCTCAACAGAGGCCACTGTTCCTTCTCTTCCCGTTCTGCTTCCTGACCCGTCCCTAAGAGTACAAATATGCAGGCTGCTTGGGCCACCACCCTGACCCTCGGAGGGCCTCTGCCAGGGTTCCTGGCCTCCAAAACACGAGGATAGTAGACACAATTCACCTGTAAGCCTCCTAGCCTTTTGAGGGAGGTGAGTCCCATTCCTTGAAAGGCTCTTTTGTTTCGAAGAGCCCAGGGAGGATTTAGTTTGCCACGTTGGGAGGGGTGAAGACTTCAGAGCCCCTGGGGAACTCTGAGGGAGAAGGGAGGGAGAGTGGGAACTCTAGCCGAGGGGCAGCCAACAGGGAGGCTTCAGGATGTCCCTGGGATGCACAAGGGGACCCAGTTCTCTGTCTCCCCTATTTGAGTTCTTTGCTACCTCTGCACTCACAGGTTTGTCGAGGTAAATAAAGGCAAGAAGGGCTGAGCTCTGCGTCCAGGCTAGTGTCAGCACCAGAGAACGACTGGTGCCTTCCAGCAGGGATCAGGGCCCCACCCTCCTGCCTGCCCCCTCCTCCCAGCCCCCTACCTGAGATTCAGTGCCGCAGGTGTCAAAGCGGGCCTGGATCCTGAAGTTGCTGCCAACTTCCTGGGCGGCACAGCTCCGGCTGCCCAGGTAGACCTTGGTCCGCTCCAGTGGGGCCAGCGCCTGCGCCGAGATCAGGATCTGGAAGTCTGTGCGGGAGCAGCTCACGTTCATGGGCACCACTGGGAACAGGAGGGAGGGGCGTGAGGCCTTGGGGCCAGATCCAGTTCTCACCTCCCCAGCAGTGCCCGCTCCCCTGCAAAGGGTGGTAGATGGGGAAACGGAGGCCCAGAGTGGGGAAGGCGCTTATGTAGCCCTCCAGGCCTAGTGTGTGATATTTCTCACACATTAGTCCATTTAATTTCTTAAGATTGTGAGCTCTGAGGGCAGGCCCCAGGCCTGGTTCCCTCAGTGTCATCTGAGCCCAGCACCAAGCTTGGAAAGACCAGTGAATGCTGAATGAATAACTGAATTTTTCTCTTTCTTTTCTTTTCTCCTTCCTTCCTTCCTTTCGTCCTTCCTTCCTTCTTTTTTTTTTTTTTGACAGAGTCTCACTCCATTGCCCAGGGTGGAGTGCAGTGGCCTCAGCCTATCTCACAGCAACCTCAAACTCCTGACTTCAAGGGATGCTCCTGCCTCAGCCTCTAGCTAGGACTACAGGTGCCTGCCATGATCCCTGGATCATTTTCTATTTTTAGTAGAGGTGGGGGTCTTGCTCTTACTCAGGCTGGTCTTGAACGCCTAAGCTCAAGCTATGATCCCACCTCAGCCTCCCAGAGTGCTAGGATTACAGGTGTGAGCCACCATACCCAGCCAGAATGTTCTTAATCATAATAAAAGCTACTATTTGCCAATCACTTTGCCAAATGCCAGACAATTCATTCCATGGTTCATCCAATCATTTAACAGACATTTATCATGATGTGCATGCATGAGCACATCAGCTGTGGGCTATTCTAGCACCACAGTTACAGACATGGAAAAAAAAAAAACAGCCCAAAATTCTTGCCCTTGTAAAGTTTACATTCTAGTTTGGGAAGGGGGCAATAAATACGCAAAATACACATAAGTGTCAGAGTGCCTTGAAGGAAAATCAAGGACAGAGGAAAAACAAGGAGGGTCAGGAGGGACCTGGGTTTTTAACCTCTGGATCATCAGGATTCCACGTTTCGAGGTCTCTCCACCCTATTTGGCAGCCCCCTGTGTTTCCTACAGGCCAGGATGGTGTGCGAATGTGACTCTGAGTATCTGGGTTTGTGAGTGT